CGGATGGCGTTCGGGGCAGTGCTTGCCTCCCGTGCTGCCACAGCCCTCTGCCTGGGTTGTGCTGTTGGTCTCGGGGCTCTCCCCTTGTCCTCATCTTGCACCGTTTTGGCTGAGGCGTTGACGTGAAATGGAGGGCCGATCACGCCCACCCACGCACAGCCCATCTCTCCACAGCAGAAGGCGACCAGAGAAGATCTTTGGGGGTACCTTTTATTAGACTCACACCAGAGGGATGAGAGGAGCGGTGCAGAGGGAATGTCGGAGCCCGAAGGTGGGAGCAGGTGCCTGGGGCTTGAACAGCATCACCTGGAAGGGGAAGGCCGAGAAGAAAAGGGGACTGTGCTGCCTCTTTCTCTGGAAGAGTTTTCCTCAGTGAAGGCTGTCCGGCATTTACAGCAAAGAGGGCCAAAGGCGGATGAAGCCTGGGGTAAGGGGCTGCAGAACTTGCCACGTGGCGTTTGGGAAGCAGTGGGTCTTCCTCCTCCGCTGAACACAGCTGAAATAATAGACGGGGAAAAAATAGGGCGCCAAAGGCAAATGCTGCTCTTTCTCGCAGCGCTGTGAGGTGATAGTGGGAGAGATGGGGAGCGCAGGGCTCGTTTCCAGTGACGCCTTCCTTACACAGAAAATAACTTATATTTTTCTTGATTAATACCGAAGTGAACAGAACCATGCAGTGAACATCGCTGAAGCGGGGAATATCTAACGTGCCCCTGCAGCATGGATGAGCCACAGCTGCAGAACTGGAAGGCTTTGTAAAAGGCGTCCATTGTCCGAAGGGCCCCGGCCTTCCCAAATCGCGGGTCTCTGGGAAGCGGAGGCAAAATCTTGGTGTTCCAAGGCGAAGGAGCGGGACGCAGCAGGTGCTGTTTCTGACCCCGGGGTGCGCGGAGCTGGTCGACAGCTGTGATTAGAGGGGTGGCGGAGTCCGACGGTGGGAGCAGGTGCCTGAGGCTTGACGAGTGCCACCTGGAAGGGGAAGACGGAGAAGACAAAAGAGGAGACTGTGCCGGCTCTTCCTCCGAAGCGTTCTCCTCAGTGAAGGCTGTCCGGTATAACAGGACCTTAAAGGGCAGCTCGATCCTGTGGGTAACGGGCCGGACGTTGGCGTCGCTACAAACCGCCTCACGGCCGCTCCCAAGATGGCGCCGCTGCGCTGAGGGAG